AATAGTTTCAGAATTACGCATGACACTATGATTTGTCGACGAATGACTTGTCGACGAAATGACTTGTCGATCGAAATGACTTGTCGACGAAATGATCCTGTCGACGAAATGACCCTGTAAATGAAAAGACCCTGTCAACGAAATGACTTGTCTACGAAATGACCCTGTCGACGAAATGACCTTGTCGACGAAACGATTCTGTCAACGAAAAGACCCTGTCGACGAAATGACCCTGTCGACGAAACAACCCTGTCGAGGAAACGGCCTGTCGACGAAATGGCCTGTCGATGAAGTGATTGTCGATGAAATGAACCAGACCCATATATACAGGGTGCGTTCTGAAAGTAATGTGCATTTTCTGGGGAAAATACATTTATTGATCCTATGTGTACAAATGGTTAAAATTCTTCAAAATTGTTCCCTTGTGCATCAATACACTTGCGGAGACGATTCTGCCACGCCTGGAAGGCACCCAGGAATGCCTCTCAGGAACCTTATAACATGAGCTTGGATGTTCTCCCCAGACTCCCAGTGCCTTCCCTTCAGCTCTCTTTTCAGTCGAAGGAACAAAAAAAAAGTCACACGGCACCAAGTCAGGGCAATAGGGAGGCTGGAGCACCAATGGGGTCTTACTTTGGGTCAGGTAGTTTTTGCTCCTTCTGCACAAGCTTCGCACAGACCTTTCTCATTCGCAAATCCTCCGTCACAATCCCATGTACCGCACATTTTGACAAGTTCAGGGTGTTGGTGATTGCCTGAATGCTTAACCGACGGTCTGACTTCAAAACTTCACGCTGGACATTTTCATCTGTTCGGGATGTTGGTGACCTTCTCCCGACCCTCCTAAAGGCCTTGTGCCACCTTCCACACTGAGATCTTGAAATGCATTTCACCTTAAAGGCGTCTTAAAGCATGTGACGAGTTTCCGTCGCATTCTTTCCAAACCGCACACAAAACTTTATCGCTTCCCAGCAAACACTCCATCACGCTGTGACTCGATCGAAAAAAAGACTTTGCGCAAAGACACGTCTTACCGCTCCTACTACTCGGAGCGACCTGAGACCAGGCCTATTTGGAAGGACAAATCCCCCACCACATTTTTAGACCAATCTAAATGCGCTGCGATTGATAGTTGCGTCACAATAAAATCATGCGCATTACTTTCAGAACGCACCCTGTATATTGGCCCTTTCTTTAATATTTAAGTACTTACTTATAAAAATTTAGAATTTGTCATTCTAGAAATAATTAAGATTTGCTGATAAGAAAAATTCCAAATTTCTTCTAATGTTATACTATAGTTTATTTAACCATTAGCAGACCTGCCAAGTCTCCTGCTTTTGCCTCAAATCTTCACCCTCAGGGTGTTTTCTCCTGCTTTTTTCTATTTAGTGCACGATAGAGGAAAAAAAAATCAATTTGTGCAATTTCCTTCACAACTTGTGCTTCAGATCATGCTGGCATTTATTTAGAAAAATTTTCCCCGATAGCAACATCACTCAAAATTACGGTGTGCACGAACCAAAACAACAATAACCGGTGAAATAGCAAAATCAGAGAGGAAATATATCTGGGATACCATTAGGCAAAATGTTTTTTTTTCTCTTTCTATAGATGGCAGTTTTTTTAAATAATGCTAAATCAGCAACATCTGCAGTTTTAAAACAGTAGCAGTTTAAAAAAAAAAATATGAAGTACATTTATAAAGTATTGTATTCATTATTGACATTTTGTTAATTTTGAACTTCTTCCTAAATTTTAAAAAATCAAAAGATGTATTTTAATATAATTCTATAGAACCTTATATTTTATTGTAAGAACACATATCTTTATTAGTCAGTGTCAGAATCTTATTGTGGTCTATTTTATGTAATGTAAATAATATATTTTGAAATAAACTTCCTGTAGGAAATGTGAATCAGGCTTAATTTTCAATATTGCGCTATGTCTTGATACAGAGTCTCCTACTTTTTTATTTTCTAAGGTTGGCAGGTCTGCATTAGCACAAAAAAGTTTTAATTTTTGTTATTTTTATTTAATAAATTACTAAAAAAATAAGTGCTGCAACTTTTAGGTTAATAGATGATTTTAATGTGTTTAGATCATCATATTTATACTTTAAATTATTATGTTTAGATCATAAAATTTATACTTAAATATTTAATATTAATTGGAATATTAAAACAGAATTTAAAACAAGACACAATTTAGTAAAAAACTATGAGAAATTTTATTTTCTACAAAATGTTCAATTGATTACAAACCTCAATAAAGGGTGCCCTACAACAGGATCTACTTGCTGACACAGCAGTATTCCAAACAAAAAGATAAATATTAAAAATAATCAGCAGTAGTTTAAATTCAATATGTGATGCATATGTCATTTGTAAATTACTACTGCTCTCAATATGTCCAATATAGATTTCCTAAAATTTATTAACACTTGTCTTTAAAATTTAAAGATGCAACATTTGAATATTTTAAACTTAAAGGAGATTTCTAAACAAAACTTAATGATTAAATTTAAAAAAGAACAAGACATATAAAAACTTAAAACTACCAACCTACAGCCTGTTACAATTTAAATTTTTTAGTAAATAACTAACGTCCAATGATCTGAAGCAGATTAATAACTTCATGATAAAATATATGCAAATATTGGAAGGATTGTGTCCAATTTGCTCAGCTGCTGTGCAAAGAGAGGAGACATACTAAAAAAGGTTCCCTTATAGGCGAGCTGTAGGTTGGGCAACAAGTCAATCTTGGCAGACAGACAGGGCTTCCTCACGTTCTTGAAGGAGTTCGTCTCCAGTGAGTTTCATTTTGGATTGAGAAAACTCGGTGATCTGGAGTCCCTGGACTATTTGCCATTGGCGGTTGGCAATTGTGACCGGAAAGCTGTAAATTACACCAGGTGGTGTACCATAAGAACCGTCAGAAATGACACCCATCGAAACATATTTACCCTTTCAAAAGAAAGATACAACAAATAAGTGCATTAAATTGAAAAAGACATATATATATAAATCTTAAGTAAATGAACCACATTGGATTAATAAGTTGAAATTTCTGATAATAATTTGAACCAAAATCTTTTTAGAAAACAGATGAACTCGAAACTGTACAAAGCGAGAAGTACAAATAAAAATAGCTGTAGGATATGAGATCATAATTTACGTTACTGAGTGATTCCTGGTACAATTGCAGGTTGAGTTCACAAAAAAATAGCTTAAAAACGGAAAAAGCCTTATGAAACCTGTTTATGAATGCAAATATGGCATAAATAATTCCATATCTCAGTCTGTTAGGTCGTCTGTGTAAATGTACAAAAGAAATCAGTGGCTATCATATTTTTTAATGTGATTTACTTTCGAGTTATGTGACATACATTTGAGATGCAAACAAACTTTTTGTAGTTCTTATTTTAAATCAATGTGATGCCAGGAACAGTGTGCTTTTTAGATATTTTCACACACTGAATGTGGTATGTGACCATGTTTTAACGTAGTTTTTATGTTTTCTATTACCCCTAAAATATGCTCTTCAATTTTTATAGAGCACTGAATTATAGGATATTAAATACTAAAAACTTTATTTTAATAGCTTCTCTGTAATGTGATAAAAGTTTAAATAAAACTTCAGATAGATATTTTATGCAGATATCTTGTGCACTCATAAATTTCTCTACTAATATTGCTATGCTTAAATGCATTATTCATGGGAGCTACTTTTCAGTCCTCCTGACTGATATCAGTCTTGGGAAAAAGTCAGTGGTCTAAATTTGGTCCTCCAATTTAAATCTATTTTCAATTTGTTTTTTAAATTAATTATTCAAAAACTTTTTTTTCTTAAAAACTGTAATAAATATTTTCTGTTAAAAATAAAAAAATACTCTTTTTTTATAATTATTGCTGTATTCTCGTTCTGACGTTTTGAAATGCTAGAGAAAGTTAAATTAAGATTGCTTTTTTTAATTAAATTTATAGAGCTAAGATAAAAAAAAATTTAATAATTGAAGAGAAAAATAAGTAGAGATATGAACGGCTCAAAAGTATTTATTCAGTGATTATTGTAAAATGATATAGCAAGTTAACAGTTACAATTAATTTGTTTGCTGTAAAAATACACTTATAACATGAAGAAAAATAAATATTTTCTAGTTAAGAAAAAATAAACAGGTCATTGATATAATATAAGGGCATTCTTGAGGAAAAGTACATTTTGCAGTCAGTGAGCTATTAATTTCTGAAAATTCTTCTAAAACAGATTCAATAAAGATTTTTGTTTCTATCTCTTTCATTAATTTTAAGAAACCATTGCCAGAATTTTTTGAAAGCACCTACTATAAATATAATACATAGTTACCTGAGGAGTACCACAGAACCAATCCCTCATGTGATCACAAGCAGCTTTAGCAGCAGACATGGCACTTGATAATTTTCTTGCAGCGATCACTGCAGCTCCTCTCTTTTGAACAGTCTAAAAGGGCAACCATAAAATTATTCATATTACCAATTTTTGTAACACATAATCTTTATAGTTACTACGATAGATAAACATCTTGCAATATGGACAGAAAAAAAGTATTTAATTTGCATTGTGAATAGGAATGCAAATAAGAAAAATTTCATCTTTCAACACAACTCAGATTACAATGAATGTTTACATTTACAACTAAAAATCGGGATGTGAATAGGAGATAATTAACCATGTCCTAAAGCACAACTATTATTTCTGGCAAAAATATTTTCTATTAGCAGAAAAAAATCTATTATAGTATAAACAACATACTAGATTAATTAATTTTAAAATGTAATGAAATGCAATTTAAATTGTTTTAAAATACAAAATACTTTTAGAGCTGGGAAATCAAACACAAAAGAAGAAAGAGGTAGTTTAAGAAATATTCTGAAAAGTAATTTAAAATGAAACTTAACAAAATTATTATTTTAATTCATTATTTTACGCGACAGTTGCTTTAAGAACTAATCTTTAGACAACTTAGGAGACTTAAATAAAATTAAAAACTTTAGGTGAACATGAAATCTCAACTAAAAAGCTTGTGGCAAACAATTATAATTAACGAATACTAGTTTTTGATGAAACTTGTTCAAAAATTACCTCCTTTTTAAAAAATATTTCAATTTTTATAAAACTCTCTCTACATTGATTATTATAAAAACTAGCATGCTTGAAAATCAACTGCAATGACATAATTGCAAGGAAAATGTGACTTTGCAAAGTAGAGAAAGATCAACCCACGAGTTAGAATTAGGGAATTTTGCCCATATTTTTTTAATTAGTGATACAAAAGAATTTTCCACAATGGTGACAAATTTTCCACAAAGCTGCATATCTAAATTATATACATATCTCCAATTTAGTTTCAAACTTTTTGAAGAACATTTCTTTTAAACTTTAAGAAAGGATTAAAATATATTGCTTAATCATTTTACAAAAGCTTACATTTTATATTTGTCATTAAATGTTATAAAAAACCACTTCATGTTTGAGACTCAATAAAGTTTATATCATTGCTCTGCAAGTAGGGAAAAAAATCTTTAATTTCAATGTACTGATACTTAATTTCTGACTTATTTTCTCAGAAATCTACAGCTTCCAAAGAGTTATTGGATAAATTTTGTCAATGCAATAGTTAGTCTTAAATGATAGAGGTATTTGCTACATAACATGAATTGTAAGCTATTGACAACAAAAGGTGTTTCAAAAATTATATTAACATTTTCAGTCTCATACAACAAATGTATTCATTATATAATAAATGGATGATACTAATAAAAACTACACTTAAAATAATAGTTTTCAAATGCAACAAAAACAATATAAATATTCAAATAACAAGCAAAAAGAAACTTACAGAGATGAAGTTTCCTTGCAAGAAGGCATCATCTTTAACAGCATCTGGGACACCAGTGACTGACCCATTAACATTAACAACAGCATTAGACACATCAGGATATTGAGTTGAAGAATGATTACCCCAAATAATCACATTGGAGACATTGCTAATATTGACTTTGAGCAAGTTAGCAATCTGAAAAGATATTTATTTTTTAGTCACAAAGAGTGTATTGTAAACAAATACAAAGTAACCATTAAAGAGTAAAGAGAAATAAAAATTTAGTATTTATAAATTGATATTTGTGAGCAATCAATAAACCAACTAGAACATAAAAATATATAGATATTAAAATAAACAGGGCTGACTATTTTCAGCTGCAACGAGTCAGACCACATTTTCTAGATAGTAAGAAGTAAAATTTGTGACTTCAAGAAAAAACAGCAAGTTGATATCTAGTATCATTTTGGTGGAAATAATTATTTTATACTCTTTGATAGCCTAAATCAGAACTCCTAAAACAGAGCAACCTAGGAAATTAAATGTATCCCAATGTACATTAGGTCCATCTTTTTCTCTCCTAGCATTAAAAAACCACAAAGCAGTAAACCTTTTTCATCAACTCCTTTACACAGAGAACAGAAGCAATTTCTTAACCCTTGCTAACACTGTTAATCTTGCGGACACTGTTAAAATGTAGTAGAGCCATGTAAAGAACTGAGGTTCGAACACCAGTGGCAACTTAAAGCCCACCCAGTCTCAGAACAAAGACTACCAGCTTGTCTGAGAAGTAAGAGCAGCTAGGGCACAATGCTGACTACATTGCAAAAATCATGTGATTGGTCACAAAATTGGGGTGCCTTACTTAAAGAATCTACTTAGGGGAAGAAGCCTAGCTTTCATTGATTTAATGTAAGCTAGTGCCCCAAGGTTAGGTGTGGTCCCTGTGCATAAAGGAAAAAACAACATTTAGGGGCACAACAGCATAGGTTCTATAAACAGGTTTGCACTCGCTTCTCCTCCTAACCAATACAAGGAATGGGGCGAAGAAGAAAATTTCTCTTTATTTTTATTGTTTCGTTCTGTATTTTTACACTATTAATAAAGAGTATGTGCCATTAATTAAGATTTTGCTTTGAAAATACATTCATATCATCCATAAATCTGCTAACACATTTTGGTATAGAAAGAAAGAATAAAATGGCGGGAAGCAGTGTACCCAAACATTCATGTAGAGTTATCTAACAACCAGTTCACAGGTGTTGTCACTTTGCTTCTAATGTGCATGGCAGAAACTTAGTGCAAATGATGTTCTGCTAAGTCTGAGTATGTTGCTCACGCTGTAAGTAGTTTTTCAATATAGTGTACAGTACCGAGCAGTTCTCTTTAGTTACATATTCGAAGAGCTGGACTTCCTCTTTCTCCATTCTTTGCCTTAACCTCTATGGCTCACAACAGATTTCTTTACTTTTTTTATTAAAGTGAAAGACTGTAAATGGTGAATTTGTAAAAGACATTTTTAATTAAAGGCATATCTTTCGGTGGTTTTACGAAGTATATTAAAAAAAAAGGATAGTCCTTTACTTCAATCTCATAAAGACTAGGGTCTATCATACGAAAATACTTATATGTTTTTACCTTTTATGAATGTAAAATTCTATTACACCCTTTATACAGAAGTCAAATAATAATAGAATATACTCATACTTGAGAAGTAGCTCTATTTTGATCCAATCTTGTCATGGCTGTAAAATTTTCTTTTGGTATGGATGGGGCATATTTGCTACAGATTAAAGCATTTGTATTAGCAGGATTTCCAACAACTAGGACCTGCAATTAAAAGAAAGAATACTCTTCAGTAAAATTAAATCATAATATTCTGATGGATGTATGTTCATACTAAATGAGCATCTCATGTTAACTGAGTTTAAGTTAATATAATTATATTAAAAAAACACAACACTTGTTAACTGCATTGAAAATTAATATGAAATGCACAACACTTTGCAGATCCTTGATTAACCAGGGCTTAACCCCAATAGAAAGTGAGAGTGAAGGAAAAAAATTCATGTTAGACTGAATAATACTAGAGGAAATCTTAGATGACTTGTGAAAGTAAAGACTGTTCTGAAAATGTTGGCAAAGCAACAAAGGATTAATAAAAATTTGAAATTGAAGTGCTACATAATTTTTAAGTGCTATTGATATTGTGTTACATGTTGTTTTCACCATTGGCTCAGAAAAAACAAAAATTTTGAATGAGGTACTAACAAAAATAACTGTTTAATTACTCTATGCAAAAAGATTAAAGCATACCTGTTGATAAAGTTATACAGAAAAATTTATCAAAGAATAAAATTAAAACAAAAGCTGACTTGTATCATTCATTTTTCACACAAAAAAATAATTATATTGGGATAGAAGTATAAGTGAATCTAATTATAACATTCAAATTTATATTCATTAATGTTTTCCAAAATATATCATTTGTGTCCAATTGTGTAAAAATTTAACTTAATTTATAATTTTTTTGAACTTGTCATAAATTTGCGAAATTTGCTTATCAATGATTCCAGAGTCCACTATATTATCAGTCATCCTTAGTACTTAAAAGTATTAGATGAAAGAAAGCATGTAAAAAATAATCACTAAACAATGAATATAAAATATATTAATTACATAATACATCACTCTGAAATTTTCAAGCAAATTTAATCTCATACTTTACCTTTACATCTTTCTTGGCAAATTGATCCAATGCTTTTCCTTGGCTTTTAAAAATTTTTACATTTGCAGCTAACAGATCTTTACGCTCCATTCCTTCACGTCGTGGCATGGCCCCAACCAGAAAAGCTGAATCTATGTCGGTGAATGCTGTCTTCTCATCTGCTGTAGCAATGATTTCTAAATAAAAGGAAAAAAAACTGTGATATATTATACATAATTTTAGTATAATAAACAATAAAATACACATTATATTGCATATCTTAAACCATCAATGCTTGGACAAGATATTTTATAACCTGGAAACTGTTGCAAATCTTTTATTCTCAATATTTCTAGCAATTGAACTATAAACTGACCTGAACTAGTCAAAAACAAATAATTAAAAATGTCATTGTTCTACATGCCTTTATTACTTTTTTTTAAAAAAAATACATAACAATTTATGAAACAAAATAAATTTAACAAATACAATATTTAAATTTTTAAATTAGTAAAAATTGCAATTGAAGCTTTAAGTGAATCTGAAATTTATCATGTTTTAATAAACAAATTAAACGTTGCATATTTACCATAATAGATCCCTACATTTAATATTAAAAATGTAATGAAAAAAGTCATAAAAGTGAAATTAGTTAAAAAAAATTATGAGTAATATTCACAATTAGAATTAAATATGCTATTTTGCAAAAACAAAAAAAAAATACAAAATTAAAATTTTATTTTTTTACACTCAAATGACCTAATAATTATTTATCAGAGTCAGATTTTAGAAGTATTAGTTGGGTTTTTTTCTGGAATTTGAAGTCCTAACTAGACAAATAAAAAAAATTAAAAAAAAGCAGAAAGAAAAGGAAAAAAAAAGCCTTGTAATAGGAATGAGCATGCATAACACTTGAAGCTTAGAAAACGCATGGAACAGTTAAATTGCTGTTCCTTATTTCAAACTTAATAAATGTCATTCACATTATAATCTAAATTAAAATAAATAAAAACTCAAATTAAAAATCTCTCATAAAGTAAATAAAAAACATTCAATTAATTACAAAGCCTTTTATATTTTTAAGCAGGATTTCTTTGATGGTTTTATTATAAATGATTAAACAGTTTTCCAAACAAATGAAATGTAGCACATTAAATTTAAACCACATAAATATAAACAAATAAAACTAATTTAATGGGTTTAACACACAATTAAACAAACATATGTGAATATGCATTTGAGTAGATATGCAAGTAAAAGTTACTGAATTTCTCTCCTGATTACCATGATTCTATTTCTTAAAACGCAGTCTGATTTAAATTAAAATTCTGAGATAATAGAAAACATTAACAGAATTTATCATATAATATTCAGAAATTTAAGTAATTGCTTTATGAGACTAATATAGAAATGAAGATATATAGAATATATACATATGAACAAAAAGAATGTTGTCCTTTTTACTTCTCTGTACTGGTTTTCTTATCACATCATGCTTTAAAGAATTTATCTTTAATCATGTTTCTAGCCTTAACAAGAACTCATAATTTTTATTTCTCATTCTTAGTCAATTTGTATTCTTTTATTTAACCCTTAGTAAAATTTCTAAAAAAATTTCTTCCTTTTGCACTATATTTTAAAAAATAACCAATTCAGTGGTTTCTCCTCGCAGGAAAGTCCATGCAATATATTAAGATAATATAAGCCGATTAATATATTATATAAATATTTATATTGTTTAAAAAATATATTAATGAACTTAAGAAAAAGCGTACATAAATGTCTCCACAATCCTTTCATTTTAAGATCTTTTATGATTTGTTTGTTTTTTAATTATAATAATGAAACACTAAGGATAATAAATTGGGAAAACTCTAAAAATACCTAAAAAGTTTTTATTGTTTCCTTGAAACTTTACATGCTTTATTTGGTAGAAACCCAAAAAGAATAAAGCATAAAATGCAATTGAAAAATATTAATACCTCTTAGCAATGGGAAAGCGCAATCATTTAATTCCATAACAACACCCTCCAATACACCCATCATTGGAGCAATATCAAGCAGGTGCAAGGAAATAGGCTGAAAGAAAACATACAAATTAAAGATTTTATATTCATTAAAATACACACTATTAAAAATGAAAGACAAGCATAATATGGAAAAATAATTTAGTTTTTTTCTTCTCGCAAATCTAACAATAGATAATGCTACTTTTTGCTTCCTTGATATATACCAATAGAGTGGCTGATTTATCATAGAGCCTAACAGGCCCGAGCCTAAAGCTCTCACATTTGCGTAGACTGGGGGTGCTAAAAGAATCATCTAAAAGAATTATAAGTTACCGAAAATTGCAACAAATATATAAGCTTAAAGTTACAAACATGCCATATGTTACTTACGCCATATATATTCTGAAAGTACTTTGCAATTTATTTTATAACCAGTGATGAAGAGCCACGTAGAATTCTGAATTTATGACTATCATTGTTCAACTCCATAGCCTTGTAACTTTGATCTCAACTCAGAAGACAAGAGAACTTCTGGATAAAGCATATAACAAACTAGCTTTCATAAGGGACTTTTTGATAGAACTAAATCGCATTTGCGTTGCATGAAGGGGGAAACCACCCACAAAATCAGAAAGTAAAAGGACTCTAATCCATGATCTGTCTATCTTTGATAATATTTTATATCAGCACTGTGGTCGGTACAAGTTGAGAGCAGAATTTGTATCATCCAGCAATTGCTGGGAATCAAACCTGGGGCACCTCATTGGAAGGCTAACGCTTCGTCTCCTGAGTCGCATAGACTCAAAGCACTTTGCGAACAACATATAATTTTATTTAAAGTTATGACTAGTGAGGGAAGGTTTAGGCCTACAGTTTTTTATTACTAAATCAGACCCTCTGCAAATACTAGTAGTACATTGAAAATAGCAACAAAATTCAATGGAAATGTTCACTTAAAACTATAAATGCATATTAATCAATAAATATTCGAAAAGTTGGCATGGCAAACGATGTTGAATGGTAAATTAACAATAAAAATGAAATGCTTGCATTTCAATTACTTTGACTTAGGTTAAAAAGCTTCTTATATTACCTGATCAAGGCCAAAAACATCTCCTTTGGACACAGAGTACAGGAGTGAATAGGCAATCTGTCCAGCAGCTCCAGTAACCAACACACGAATTGGATCCTTCTGAAATACACAAGTCAGGCACAATTGCTTCAATTTTACCAATAAAATGACAGGATGCTACACGAAAATGATTAAAAATGCAAACTTGTCCTTAAAAAAATTGTTTTATCCATAAGATTCTTTAAGAATTATAAATAAGATTCGATAAAAAAAAACACTTAAATAAAAATATTAATGATTTCTCTACAATTTTATCGTAACATTTGCATCAAAATAAAAGAAAACAAATAACCGGTCAGAAAGGAAAACCGGAACTATTATATCGCACTTTAAACTTAATATAGAATACTAATTTAATAGTTAAGTTTTTTAAACGCATAATATAATGATACTTACGGCCATGATTATAAATAAATAATTGTAATTTATTTATAAATAAAAATACTTGAATAATGCTAAGCTGCACGTGAAAATCACACCACTGTAGCAGAAGAGGAAGGATACGCCAAGGACGATTTGTTATTAGTTTTTTTCTTTTTTTGTTTGTTTGATAAAGATCACGTGATCATAGTACATTGTTTTTCCTGATCACAAATTTGTGTAATAAAAGAAAAATTCCCTTTTACTATTTTATAAAACATTGCTAACTAACTAAAGAAATTGTTAAAAGCTAAAGAAAACAATTTAAAACTTCCTGCAAGTATACAATTTTTAAAAAAAATTTACAAACTGACTTTAAAAATATGGCAACACTAAGCAAATGTTTGTTTATTTATAATTACTCCTATCTTTCTGTCACAAAAACAGGTGATCTAAGCTCATTTTAGTTTTAAATACGTTATTTATTTATTACATCTCCATTTTATTGCCTTTATTAAAAACTTATGAACAAATTTTAAGCTGTTTTCGAAGAATTAGCAGTTCGTGGTCATACTCTTAAAATGGAGGACGAATATGTTATTGAAGAATTTAGTGAAGATGAGTACAACTCATCAAGCTCAGAGGATGATGATATACAAACATTTATTAAAAAAGAATATGGTTTAATAGAAGTTGAAGATGATTTTGAAGCAGAAGTTGATAAAGTAATGACTGCTCATTTACAAAAATTAAAATCGGAAGATCCAAGTGATATAGCTGATCCTACTCCTTCCTGTTCAATTGAAAACGATAAAACAGATGACAAGTCTAAAAAGACACAAGCAGAAATTAATGATGAACTTTTTTATGATCCAAACATGGATGACGATGATGAAAAATGGATAAATGACAAGAGGCGATCATATATTTTCCCAACAAAACAAACTTCAAGTTCGAAAGTAAAGCCTCTACCTAACAGTGATGCTGTCCTTAATTGCCCTGCTTGTCTGTCGCTTTTATGTTTGGATTGTCAAAGACACGATATTTACAAAAGCCAATACAGAGCCATGTTCGTCACAAACTGTACAGTAATTGAGACTGAAACTTTGAATTATCCTAATAAGAAAAAGGCAAAAAAGACATCGGGTGAAATGTTTGCAAAGCCGTCTGACGTTTATAACCCAGTTAAATGTTCCATTTGTAATACAGAAGTTGCTGTGTATGACACTGAAGAAATCTATCATTTTTTTAATGTTATTGCTAGTTATTAAACATTTATTTTCTCTGTAAATACTCTAAGAGTTTTTGTTTAAATTTAAATCTTAAAAAATTCTGCTATTTTTCATTTTTGTTTTATTTTAATAAATTAAATTAAGTAACTTGTGATACTGTGTCTTCTTCAGTAGCACATGGGTTGTGTCTTCGAGGGGGACATGATTAAATGCCTGAGTCCCCATAGTTTTCTAAATTTCCCACATAAGAAAAAAATAAATTCTTAAATGTGCAAAATAACTATAAAAAGATTAATTAATTTTATCTCTTTCTTGAGCTTTAAGGAAATTAAATTAAAAATAATTCACAAAAAGTTTCTTTTTTGTGTGAAATATTGAAGGAGATTTTTAGAAAGTTTTAGTAATTGAGGGGTACAAATAACCCCCTCCACACACACCATCGATGCCTTTGCTACAGCCTAATGTTAGCCAAAGCTTTCTTAATGTTATATTGTTACTTTTAAGGTTTTATTAAATGTCCATTCCTATTATATTTTTATATTAGAACACTTTTTTACCGAAGTAAACTTTTATTTTTTTGCTTCCATTTCAAAATAATTTACAACTCTGAAAATAAGTGAAAGTTATCATCTTAATGATGGTCATGAGTAGAAAATATATACGTCAAAAAATTAGAAGTTCCACTATGTAAATTGTTTTAATATATTTAAGAGACCATTTTTTGTTATCATGCTAAATTTTTACTGAAATAACCTGTGTTTTCAACAGTTTTTTTTTTAAAAAAATAAATAAATTTAGTGTAAAGCACCATTTTAAATGTATAAATATTATCTCAAAAATATTAAAAAATTACACAGTAAGAAATGTTAATAAATTTTTTAACTTTATAAATAGAAATGTATTTTGAAGACAGTACATATAAACATTTATTTTTAGTATTAGCTGAGTGGAAACTGCATTCACTTCAGAGATAAACAAATATGAAATAACAGTTAACATTTTTCAAGCACTTCAAAATTAGGCACCCATTTTCAAGACTGCCCGTGAATGTGAGGTAACAAAAATGATTTGAAATAATAAAAAAAAGGTAAAGTTACCCACAAAAAATAAAAGTACGAAGCAAAACTAGAAAAACCATAGAAGCTGTGAGAAATAAAAAACAGAACAAGAAAAATTACCGTTATTAGTAGTGAACGTTATTATTAGGTATTTAGAACTGTGAATCAAAGTGTAAGGTAATTGATGGAGATCACTTTGATAATTTTTCAAATACTATTCAAATTTAATTTTCAAAAGAAGGAACAGGAACCAACAAAAAAGGGCTATAACAGAAAATCAAAAAAGGAAAATACATGGTTTTTTGTGTTAGTGCTAGGGGTGTAGTGTAGTTCTTTTACTTCATTCTTAGCTGGTATTTTAAAAATGCATATTGTTGAGGATGGTCTGTAGAGAAAATATTTGGTTATGCAAAAATTTCTGAATTTATTTAACATTTATAGAATTTAAACCCTTTTTCAGAATTATCCTCCATATTGAATAGAAACCCATAAAAGTTCCACTTAGAAATTTTTTTGTTAAATAAATTTCTTAATTGTGTATTGTTTCATTATATACTACATCTCTTTTACACTTGACTATGATTTCTATTAAAATTCCCAATTCTAAATCAAAGTACTTGGTCACATTTTAGAGATGATGGATATAAGTTTAAACTGCATCTCAAAATATTGACAGTTTTCCAGTATAAATTGTTATAATAAATTTTTTAAATGTTTTTCCCCTAAATAGGTTCCCAATTTTATTTGCCATTTATCAATAAATTAAGAACTTAGAATGAAGGTGTAAATTGCCATTTTTAAGATGCGTAGGAGTAGGACTACGAAATATATATCTTAAAAATTAAATGCTCCAAGTTGCAAATTTTAAAAAAAAAAAATTCATAAGTCAATTGTATTGGGCCACATATTCTTTTTCCAGAAAGATTCCATTTCCAGAAAAATTTTAAATTGTGAAGAAATGTGTTAAGTACTTCTTTAAAAATGCACAGGAGTAAAAAATATTGATCTTAAAAAAGCTCTGTTATGAACATTTTTTCAAGAGTCTCTTGCACCTTTAGATCACTTTTTCACGAAATTAAATATAAATTTTTGACTGCCTTTTTATTTTTAACGAAAAGCGTATACTCAGCCGATTTAGTAACATTGTTTAAAAAAAATCTTTTATTTATATTTTTTATACAGATATAAGTTTAGTCATTATTAAAAAAATAATCAAAACTTAGCTTTATTATTGATAAGGGAAAAAAACTTTAATATAAATAAGGTAATTAAAAATATTTAAGATACAAGAAATAAATGAAAACTGATTAACAGTTATTTAAAAAAAAATAAAGTCGAAAAAAATATGATCTTGATTCTTAAAAGAAAACGCTAATGCTAAAAAAAATATTTTACGGCGAAAAAAACATTAAAAAAGAAAATGTCTATCAGAAACGCTTTTAAAAATGCAGCATGACATAAAAACGTCTGTACGAAACAAAGTTTGTATACAAAAGCAAACAGAAAAAATAAAAATCTGTCTTAATTTTTAAAAGAAAATTTTAAAGCTAAACATTTTAGTTTTATAACTACCATATTTTAAAGAGAAAGTGAAGATTGAAGTCTAAAAGAAACACTTTTAATTGCCACGTCATAATAAAAACGACAATCGTTCTCAATTTTTAAACGGAAGATTTAACTCAAAAAATCTTAATTTAACATTTTTGCATTGCCGTATTTTTAGAATAAAGTGATCATAAAAGAAAAACGGTTACTAGAAACGCACTTTAAAAAATACTGTCATAACAAAAACGCTGATAGAAAGAAAAGTTAATAAAAAAAGTCAAATGAGAAACAGAAAAAAAACGGTTCGTTATTCTAAAATATAACTTTAACGTAGAGAATCATGATTTTCTATGTTACTAGTTATCTGTCTTGCCGTACGAGGAAAAAGTGACATTAAAATGATTATGTCTATTATAAACGCTTGTGCTCCGTTAACATGCTTCGCTTCAGTTAAAACTAAAACAAAAAGAAATTTTTAAAAAATAAATGAAATAAAAAATATTTAAATTTCTAAAACATAGTGTTGAAATTGATTTCCTTCAGGTTTACAAGTTTTAGATCTTAACAAATGTGTCTAAAAACTATTTCTAAGTATAGTAAAAAATACGATTTTAGATTATTCTTTATTAACTCTACACCAGTGTTTCCCAAAGTGTGGTACGCGTACCCCCAGGGGTACGGGAACAGTTTAGCGGGGGTACGCGTTCTTATACGTAATATCTTGCAACAAACGAAAATTTCAAAAAATTTTGTTTAAAAACAAAGCTAGCCATGAAAATTTACGATTACTTATTTTTCTATTGGCTATTTTTTTCAGAGTTAACAGTTAATAATTTGTGTCAACAGCCAGTTGTGATTTTTAACTTTTGTGAAATTTTTTTATAGTGAAAAAATACATTCATTTTTTTATTAGTGGTACACAGCGTTACGAAAAATTTAGAAAGGGTACACAAAAGTCATAAGTTTGGGAAACACTGCTCTACACTATAAAAAATTTCGAGCTATGTTACGCCAAACGTTGGTATTCATTTGCTGGCTACATAAATTGGTGCTCAGCTTTATATATATTGGTGCTTTCACTAGCTCCAAACAACGAGAGAAGTTTGCACCAAAAAAGGGTATTTTGATTGAACATAAAAGCAGCAAAAGGTTGCACCAAAAAATCAATGTTTTGAAGCTACCTAAAAGCGTAGGAAGGTTGCACCATGATTTGGTATTTTGAAAGGGAACTAAAAGCGATGAAGGTTGCACCATTATTAAGTATTTTTAAAGCGCCAAAAAGCAGAGAAAGTTAGCATCATTATTAAATATTTATTAAAAAAATAAGGAGAAGATAATTTAAATCAAAGTTATATAAATCAAATTATGATTTAATTTCTTAAATTTATAAAAATTTAAAAAAACTATTTTTATTTTAGCTGTGTTATGTAATATATATATATATATATA